GTTTGACTCGATATCGCGCTTGGATCAGTGGCTCACGACCATGCTGCTCCGCATCAAGAAGTCCATCCAAGGCGAAGGGGACGGGGACCTCAAGTGAAGCGCTCGTGATGCCTGCGGCGTGCGGCCTCGATAACCCGCTCTCGTGTTTCTGGCCGGGGACTGTCACGGGATAGGTGACAACGTATCTCGCTTAGTTTTGTTGCTTAGGACTCCAACGCCTCCTGTGTTCCTTTCGTGTCCTGCTCTTTGCTGTGGCAGCGTGGGGAGGTGACGCTGGTGAGCTTGAAGACACCCTTCTGGCAGGGTTTTCCCTATCTTTTTTTTTTTCCGGTGTGCATTTCCAGCTGCTTTTCCTCGCTGTTTTGTCCCCTAAAGTTGTGACAGTGCAAAAAACTGCTGCCCTGCTCCTGCGTTGTGGCTGAGTCTTGTTTTTATGGACCTTTGTCAATGAGCTTGGGTCTTGTTTTTCCTTTTTGTAATGGTAGAGCTTCTTACATGGCGCTAGTGAAAGGCTTCGTGACGTACCCTGTGCACGTGTGTGTGTACATCCTATACAGATACATGTGTGCACATAGAAATACAGACTGCAGAATGAGCTAGGCTGGAAAACATTTACAGTTTGGAGGGCACAGGACTGCTTAGATTGGTGTCCAACCTCTGGTCATGACTGTTCGCCTAGTTAATTCTGTATTTTGCATTTGCAATCTAAATAGAAAATGTATGGTTCTTCTATATTTTCTGGGACCTATTTTTCCACCCATTTTGTGCTGCGCCGTATCCCTCCTCCCCCAAACCAACTGGACCCGCGTAATAATATATTTTTCTAACTTTTTGTTGACCCTGATGCCCTGCTGCTGGCCCGAGCCCAGCTCTGTTTGCTCTCCTTGCTCACCACGGCGCTGCGCAGAATTATCCACCAAGACTTGGTGTGAACCAAGAACCTTCCCTCGTTGCGGCGAGGGGGACAGACTGCACAGCGCTGGCCTTGAGAAGGTGGAAGCATTTATAAAACTCCCATAGTCACTGAAAAAATGTGTTTTAAAACATCTGCAACCCAGGCGTTTTCGTGCAGTGCTTAGTTTAAGTAGGGACGATGAAGCGACCTATCCAGCTACCTATTCCACGTGTACATGTACTAAGAGGGATTTCGGAGCCTATGCAACTTGGCAGTGGGAGCCAGCACTCAGTATTGCTCCAAGCCGAAGCATTTCCTAGATTCACTAGGAATGTGCAGCAAATGAAGGAGGGCTTGATTGCTGTGGCAAAAACGCTGCCCTTTTCCATTGCCAAAGCAGGAATATTGTCGTATTCCCAGACAGTCCCTGCCCAGGTAGACAGGGATGCCGCAGGCACCCGCAGGTGTTGTCTGGCATGCTGGTCTTCACTTTGCTTCCGATCTAAACACGTGTCTGAAGCACAGCTCAGTGCTAACTTGGCAACTTGTCCTAAGTGTTTTAATAGTGTTAAAGTAGTGCTATATCCACCACTTGCTTGCAAAAAAAAAAGCTTTCTGGTATAGTCTAAAAAAATAAATATATATTATATATATATATATATTTTTCTTTTTTTCTGGGCTGAGTTATTTTCCACGGTCCCTGTTCTGGGTCCGACACCTTTGCAGCACTGGCCGGGCGAGTGGAGCAAAGCCTTGGTTGATGCTGGCTCCTGCAAGCACCTTCGTCCCTTGCTTCCCAGGTGGGTTTTATGGCTCCCGTTTGTGGCCAAGCTCCCCCTGCAGCCAAGTTGCCGCTCAGGCCACCGCGTTTCGCGTGCATCTTCCTCACCAGCGTGGCAAGAAGCCCTTTAGGTTAGATTTGGCTTGCGCTCCCCCACCTGAGATGCCCTTCGCTAGCTCGGCACGCGAGTGCTCCTAGGCCATTCGTTCACCTCTCTGGTTGTCAGTGTTGTGCCGGGGGTGGCTCCGGACGTTGCTTCTGTATCCGCCTGTCACCCGGTGCCACCACGGTCCCTTGCAGCGGCCCCGATGCTTCGCCACGTCCCCCCGCCCCGGCGCGAAGCTCCGTGCTGCGGCCACAACGGAACGGAGCGGCCCCGGCAGCAGCACGGCCTGTTCTGTGTTGAACCTGTACAGTAATAAACCGAATTGTGACCGTCAGCAGTGGTCCTTGTTCTTTAGATGCGAGGCGCGAGCGAAAGCGGGAGCCTTCCAGCCTGCAGGTATTCCGAATTTATGTGTAGCACCAGACTCTTCATGTTGGCCACAGGGAGCTTCCAGAGTAGCGGGCTTGAACAAATATTTCAAATATAACCCCTGGGATGTTTCTTTTTTTAAATAAAATAACTTCCTGTAGCTAGAAGATCAAAAAATACATCTAGAGCTCCCTGCCAAAGTTGGGGTGTTTTTCTTGCTTTGCCAACCCTTAAGGTGAGTGCCACGGGCACCCCGATCCGGGAGTGCTGCCGGAGCCAATTCCTGGTGCTTTCTCCTGCCCTGGTCGCTGCCAAACTTGCAAGTGCCACGAGCAGGAGGGAGCCGGGAGCTGCCACCCAGGGGACAGCGGCCACAGGTCACCAAGATGATGGTGCCTGGGGAAGGGTGGCCGGCCCTTTTCTACCCTGCTTGGAGAGGGAGCACTTGGACTCCCTGGGGTCCATGTTGCCTGCGAGCTCGAGATGGCCCAAGGCGAGACCTCAGCCCTGAGCTTAATGCTGGTTCTGTTCCCCCTTAAACAGAGCAGGGCTTGATGGATGCCCGTGCGTAACCGAGCACGCGAGGAACGCAAGCTCTTGCGTGCGAGTGCCTGAGTGAGGGGGTGTTTAATCGCTGCGATAAACCTCAGATAAAGGCCTAGGGACGGGAGGGATGCTCATGTGTTATATTTATAGCATCTTGGTGTGGCTCTGGGGCTTGCCCCGTGCACAGATCTCCTGTATTTGCACCTCCCTGGGCTGGTTTTTGGGTTTCAAACCCCCTGACGAACCCCAGACAGCCACAGGTCGTGGGTGGTAAGGCCTGCTGAAAATGCAGTGCAGTAACGTAATGATTCGTCTGGTCATTTAAGTGAAGCACGATGGGGAGGGAAGGTGATGCCTCCAACCACTGTGCCTGGATTTGGGAGGGCTGAACCACCTCCCTGCTCCCCAAGGCCCTCATGAAGGTGTTTGCAGTTGGGCTCACATGAGAAATGGCTCTGCCAGCTGCAGTTATAACTAGGCTCTTGGTGCATGGAAAGGGGGCCAGAATAAAGGCCCATGACAGATAAATCCATTTAAATTCCTTTCTTTTTCTCTGAGATTATGGCGATAGTCCCTCAGTGTGGTACCTCAAGACCTCGTGATAAAGCATTTGATGGGGAAGGAAAATTGAAGCAACTCTGTTGCAGGAGATGAAGATTTGTCCTTGAAGTAGGCAAATATATGTCCGACTAGATACTTTAAAATCATTTTCTTTGGTATTTGAGGAGGTAAGTCAGCTTCTACCAGCAATCCTGCCTCTTGGAAGGGGTATTACGTTGAAGAGGAGGAGAAATCCCCAGGGAAGTTATGGGGCCAGTACCAGCAAAGGCCGAGTTGCATGAGGACAAAAAATCCGCAAGAATTTTCTCCCCCATCCCGTGGGATTCCCATGGGATTCCCCAACGCTCTTAAGAAAACTGCCAGACCTGTAGGCTGGATGTTTCTCTCCCAGGGCCTCCAAGTTGCAGGCCCTGGGGTAAGGCAGGATTCTGCTGCGAGTGACACTGTGGTCAGGCCAGCGAGGCCTGCATGGAAGGCCTTGCCGTGGGCCGCGACCACGTCCCCGGGGAAGCTTCAGGCCTTCTGCTGCATCTCCCCGGGCCTGTGCAGCCTCTGGGGAGCTTTGGAAGGCAGGGACACACGTTCAAGGTCGCCAAAGGCCCTTGGATGCCGCGGTGCTGAAGGCTGCCTGGTTGGGTTGCTCGCTAACACGTGGCGGTGACAAGGCCCGTGTCCCTGCCACAGTGTCCGGACAGGGAGCAGACCCAGCGGAGGTGGCCGTGGTGGTGGCCGTGGCTTCCCAGGAGCCAGGGGGAGATGCGGGCGCAGCGTCGTCCCGGAGCGAATATGCAGGAGCACGTCGGCGTCCACAGGGAGTCATTACAAACTTTATTTGGCTGTGCATCGTGTACCATTGATAAGGATCGTCACAACTAGTGGGCTCGCTGCCTATAGTGGGTGGGTAATACACACAAAGGAAACGCGAGGAGGGCGAGCAGACGGGAACGGAGCCGCCGCCGCGCGCAGACGTCGGCGGGCACCGGCGCGGCCCCCGCGCGCCGGGGG